GTTTTCAGCAGCCCTACTCATGAAGTAGTGATTTCTGCCATACCAACTCAGCACAAGTCTGATTTCAGCTTGACCCTGTTAACCATTCGTATCCTTACTTCCAAAAACATTATTTCAGAACCAAAAAGAAAAATGAACATACTCAAGAGACCGTTTAACTTTGTTTCAATTCAGTCAACATAAAAGGAATAAACATCTGTAGTACACTTTCTTTGTTTACATACTGAATATGCACCTTCAGCAAAAAAATACACACAGAACTCACAACTTTGTCAACATCCACACCCACATATACTGAAATTTTAATCACTTAAGTGACAATGATGAACAAATTATTACTTTTTTCTTCCCATTTTTTTTTGAGTTCCTGTCAAATCCATTACATTCACTTATGTGCTAATTCTCTTTTTCTCTCCCCAGCTATGGGTAAATAGCAGGACAGACCAGGTTCTATAGTCTTGGATGGCAACTGGTCTACCACAGAAAGAAATGGCAAACTACTGCAGAAAAAATCTGCCTCGTCAGTCATTTATCAAAAGATACAGATCGCCTAAGTGTATATCACACATGGCTTATAACTGACTGACTGGTCAATCTAGCATCAGCCTGATATATAATTAGCTGATAATTTGATTTGATGTATTTATTTGCTCAGTAATTCATGGTGTTCTTTGCTGCTGGTAACATGTAACCTAATAAATGTATCATATTTTGTAGAGCAAAGATGGGTACCTCTAAGTAACTTATTTTGAGTGAAGAGGTACCATGAAGAGAGATTACTGAATGTGGCACTCTGAAAACATAATAATGGTAAAGTTAATTGTGAAATTAACTGTTTCTATACTGAAAACATTTGGCATTCTTTGACACAACAGATTGTGTTACTGTTGGTTGAAATTTCTAAATTGTTAATTTTTTCTCTCTTAATTTTGTAATTTTCTTAAATTAGTTTTTAAACTTCCTAAATGTTATAGTGCCTTCTAATACTGATGGGAGTGTCCCTCCAAACTTTTCATTTTTGTTAATGTGGAACGTTCAAATCTTGATTGTACCATTACTTTACTTTATAATGACATATTCTACACATTTTTGATGTTGCATCTATTAGAATTGTTCAAATGATTTGCTTTTTCATATTTGTTCAGGATCATTATAATTTTGTTTCAGTTTTATAGCCTTATGTCAAACTAAGAAAAGCCAGTTTTGTAAAGAAATTTGTATTAGAACAACTTTTTTATCATGAATTATTACTACTCCACTACAGTGAGCTTCACTATTTTAGCCTTGAACCAGACTAGGTTAAGACTAGTAAAGATCAGTATATTAAGACAGTTGAAGAGATAGCATCTTGAAGAGTTTGACTTAATCCAACAAATATATGTTCTATGTTACCTTAGTAAATGATTTACTCACTAAAAATAAAAGCCAAGAACTTCAAAGAAAGATTAAAAAAACCTAACTTTATACATCATTAAAACACCTAACTATATACTATATATATATATAACTATATACATCTTTAAAATAACTGAGAATATACATAGGGTGGTGTAAGGGATATTGACTCAGGATGAGAAAATCGAAAGTTGAGTTTAAATTCTATAATTTATCATAATTGTCCATAATTTACCATAATTTACCATAATTCTTTGCATTTACTTTGGTACATTCATTAAATTGTAGTACATATAATATTAACCCAAAACATCACTCCACCTTACCTTGTCTCTTTATTCATGTTGCTTAACTATTTTTACCAAGGATCCAAACTCTAGGCTAGCCATTAAGTTTATCTCATGTATATGTCGTTCTCATTCTAAGTATCAGCTTCCTTGTTGTTTGTATTTTTCTCAAATTATTCACTTGTTCTGCTGATGCTATTCTCAGCATCTGTCAGCAGAACCATATTTCTGTAATTTAGGCTTCTTAATTTATAGGGAAATTATTCAGTATTCACTGTCATATAGGAGATTAGATAATACATAGCAGCTCAGTGCTCCATCCTTTGATTCTACAGACATTTTCCTTTTTCTTAATTCTTTGCTTAGTTTCTGATAGGTATATTTTGCTATTCTGATGCACCTTGATATTTATTTATTAAGATATATCCAGATGGAAATTCTGTTCTCATCATATTTCTATTCAGAAGTATGGTGCTTTTTGACTTTAGTGTCATCAGCTGTGTTATGGTTCCTTAGTCACATTTGAACTGAATTGCTGCAGTCCAAAAGACCTAATGGAAGACCTATAACAGTTTATGTCAAGAACATTTGACACATTTTTACCTTCAAAATAGTAGGGGGCATGTGTCGGTTAGAGTTTTGCTAGGGGCACACATTAGTGTAGCGTAACTAACATTTTACCTAGACATCAGCTATTAATATATAAAATTATTTTCAGATAATCCAACAACTGGTTTGCTAAGCTTTTATAATTTTAAGAATCGTTTGCATGAACTGGTAGGATATCACTACTATGCTTTGTTTGACAATAGGTTAAAAATATGGGATCAAACTCATCAAGTTTTACAAGATCAGCTTTACTAATCTTGGCAATTTGCTCTTTTTCTTCAATCTTATATTTAATTTTTATTTTAAATATCATATAGGCAAGCATGACTCTGCCCATTATTTCATCTCTAATATCTGCAAATTGCTATAACTTTTTGAGAAAGATAGTAGAATGGTTTCCTATTGCCTTCTTAATTGTTTTGAATTCAAAGTTTTCTATCTCCTAGACTAGCTGTCAACCAAGGCTAGAAAGTGGCAGGTAATGTATACTGCTACTTAAACCATAGCTGGAGGAAGAAATGATGTATTCATATCTTTGTAAAAGTAGGGAGGGTAGGGAAAGTTTTGATACCCATCTCAATAAAAAATTTTATTGCATAGCAAACTTTCTTCATGCCCTGATTGCATTCTGCAAACTAGTCAATTATAACAAGCAGAATTTAGAAGTTTGTGTTCAAAGAGCTGTTACAGCTGTCTTTTTCAGTTAGATTTGACAGGTCAGTTTATTTGATGTATAGTAATTATTTGTCTATATTTCCGAGATGAGGTATTGCAATTATTTACATTGTTTGGACTGTTGTCCTCATCTTTATTGCCATGTTCACAATATTTCAGGCTAGAGGATAAAAGTGTTGGTTGGATCCAGTGACTTGATCCAAAGAGTTGTGAGTTCAATACCTGGCCACAACAATGGTGAACAAAAACTTGGAGTGTTGAGTTAAACTGAAACATCTGGAAGAGGTATGGCACGTGGAACTAGAACAATCTACCCTGGTAGACAAAATAAAGGGTTCATTTCAAAATTCCAATCATCTGAAGAAGGCTGGAGCATACAATGGCGGAAATGTCATGAACAAAGCAATAAAGATAGGGACAACAGTCTGAACAATGTAAATAATGTATAGTAATTATATAGTAAAATTACAATCATTAGAACCTCTGCAAAAAAAAGTTGCCAAAGATCTGAAAAACACTTCATACATACATCTGCCTACCCTTTCACAGTTCTTGATCTCTGCTTAAGTATTTTAACATATATATTTATCATTGTTTTCTTATCTATTTACCTATATGTTCCCATAGGCAGCTTTTTCCCAAGAACTCCCAATTTGTGGAATAGATTCCTGTATGGTTGCTTCCCTGAAGATTTCACTCATGACCTCTTCAAGTCAAGAATCAATCACCATATTTCTTTCTCATGTTCATGATCTTCATTGCTTACCGCTTTCTCATTCATCATTAACATTTTGTTAACTGTAACCCTCAAGACTAAGTGTCTCTCGAGCTTTCTATTGGGTGAATTTTAGTATTAAAATTTTTTCTTATTTCTACTTCATTGCTTATAAATATATTTATGATTGCATCATTCTCAGTCTCTTTTGATCTATCAACAGAGGAGAGAGAAAGAGAAAAATGCAAAGTGGAATAGTTATCTTAGGTTGGGAAAACTGAGCTTAAATTCTAGTTGAGTTTGTTTCTTTGACTCTAAGCAAGGCATGAGCTCAACCCTCATGGTGTGCAATTCTATGTGCCAGTCATCTTGCCAGTAGCTTTGTCACTGGCATACCATAATAGTAGGTAGAGTACAAGATGAATGAACAACTGAGCTGATGGACAGAACACTCTCACATTTGTTATATAGGAATAAAGTGTCACTGCTGACACTTGAGTTTGAACATAGATCACCAGTGAGCAAACACATGCGATCCCATTATTGAATTAAGTAAACCACATGACCATAGAGGAAATGCATAAGTAGAAAGTATTTTTTTCCTTCTATTTGACCTGTGAGTATCAGATTCCCCAGGCCCTCCTTCCTCATTATGTGTCCCAGAAACTTCAGCTGCCTCTTCCTGATGTTAAGCATGAACTTCCTCCTTGTCTGCATCCTCTCCAAGACCTCATAGTTGCTCACATTCTCAATTCACAAAATTTTCAGCATCCTTCTGTAGGGCCACATTTCCATTGCCTTGAGTCTCTTTTTCATCCAGCATTCGCTACTGTAAAGAAGGACAGATGTCATGTAACAGCTCAGTAATCTTTTCTTTGTTACCAAAGAAATTCTCTTGTCTCGCAATACACTGCTCAGCTTTTGGAATGCACCCTTGTCCATCCCAATATGTCAACAGATCTCAGTGTTGCACTTACCGTCCTCTGTCAAGATGCTTCCCAGATATTTAAACTTCTGTGTCTGCTTGATTCTAATGTTCTCAACCAGCAAATTACATTTCGGCCTTTGTATATTCACTGAACTTGTTCCCTATGTCCATGCATCCAATGAAGTAAAAAGATACCCAATCACACACACGTGTGTGTGTGTGTGAACATTATATGCAGAACATAAAATATCAAAATTTACAGTTTCATATTCAACATGAAACCAACTGTATCCTTGTATGATCTCACTGGAATTATCTCTAAAAATAATGTCCTTAGAAGAACTTCCAAACTTTCATTATACATTTGAATCTTCAAAAAGTGTGTGTGTGTTTAAGGATATGTCCATGGAGTAAAGTATACAAAAGCACTTACCTGGCGTAGTTTCTCAATAGATGTCCAGGGATTTAGCGCTGCAGGTAGGTTTTTGAGTCCATCACACGAGTCATCTGCTGGGTGTGATTCAGTCCTTGCTCCTCTCAAATGAGCATCCTTAACCTTGTCTGAGTCAGTTGCAATAGCAACTGGCACATCAGCCCAGGAATCTCCATGGTAAGAAGGGCACATCAAATGCCTTTGCTCACTCACACATCTGTGAAAAGGATTTACCTCTTCTTTCTGTAGTGCATTCTGTCGTTCATTGCACCGAATGATGCAGATGGAAATGAATGCTGTGGTGATCACAGACACTGATACAGCCACCAGGACAATGACAACGGCTAAGTTTAGATGAATCTTATCTTCAGTCTTCATGTGTACAGCATTTGTCATCTCAGAGGTCTTGTTGCTGACTGTAAGAGACAATGTCAAAACAGTTGCTGCTGAAAGAACAGGGTTTCCGCTATCCTTGACCACAAACTCCAGTCCATAAGATCCAGCATCTTGCTGTGTGACAACACGAGTAAAGGATAATGAGCCTGTGTAATGATTAATGGTAAATAACTGTTTATCATTGCCTGAAGTTATTTCATATTTAAGAAAGGCATTCTCTCGGCTATCACTGTCTGAAGCCTTAAGAACAGTAATTTCTTTTGTATAATGAGGATAATAAAGGATGTTCATTGTGAAAGGATTAACACTGGGAAATGTGAAATATGGGGCATTGTCATTCTCATCTCTGATATCAACTACAACATTTACTGTGTTGTTTAAGGAAGGAGTTCCTTTGTCTTTTACCAGAACTTGAAATTCATATACATCTTTAAATTCATGATCGAGAGACATAATTGTAGAAATGAAACCATCATCTCTAATTTGGAAAGGAAGGAAATGTTTATTATCAGTCAGGAGAGAATATGTAAGTTGACCTCCAGACCCGAGATCTGGATCAGTGGCATTAATAAATCCAACTGGAAAATTTGACTGTTGGTTTTCATAGATCCTAAATGTATATGTCTCCTTAAAGAACTGTGGTTGGACATCATTGATATCCATCACTTGAATGGAAAATTTTCTCTCACTATGTAAGGGTGGTGAACCTCGGTCCTGACAGTTGATGGTCACTTCATGGTGATCTTCAGTCTCTCGGTCCAGTAAATTTTTGACCACTACTTTGTACTTTTTCGTGCTGAGATTTTGCAACTGAAACTTATCATGGTGAAGGTCACAACTGACCTCTCCATTATGTCCAGCATCATGATCAGTGACTTTTACATAGGCAATAAAACTTCCCACCTCAATGTCTTCAGAAATGGTGACCATGTTTTTAGCTGATTCAAAGACAAAGTTTACATCAATAGTTGGGGCATTATTTTGTTGATTGATCACATTGACTAAAACTTTTGCTAATGAACTAAGTGATGGATTTCCTTGATCTGTTGCTTTAATAAAGAGTTTGTATGTTAAAGTTTGTCCGAGTGTTAATGTTTTACGAAGAAACACCTCCCCAGTATCTTCGTTCAAATCAAACAGAGACTTGGAAACGTCTGATGTCTCAGAACTAAAGTGATATAAAATCTTACCATTCTTACCCGAGTCAGAATCTTTTGCAGACAAGATAATAATGGGACTATTTTTACTGTGTTCGTTGCCAATAGAAACATTATAAACCTTCTGTGAGAAAAAGGGAATATTATCATTGACATCTGCAACAGAGATGAAGACATCTAAGACATCTTTCTTAGGTGGGGATCCCCCATCTTTGGCAATTACTTGAATCCTGTATGCATCCTTCACTTCCCTGTCAAGCCGCTCTTCCAATGTTATACTCAGGTCTGAAGTTCCTGCCACATTTTGGGATATGGACAATGAAAATGGTTCATTTATTTTCTTTTTTAGCTGGTAAGTTATCTGAGAATTTACCATTCCTACATCTCTATCTTTGGCATTAGGAATCTTTCTTTTGGTCCCTATTACATCCAATTCAGAAAATTCAATGTTGACTTGTTTGTCCGGAAACCCAGGCTGGTGATCATTGACATCTTGTATAACGACTTTGATTTCTAATAGTGTGATGAACGATGGCCCTTTTCGAACAGCCACATCAACCATTCTTGAACACTCAACACTATGTACACACAGTGACTCTGCATCTAATGTTTGTGCAGTGTACAGCTTTCCTGTCTTTTTAGCGACTCTGAATAACTGAGAATGACCAGTCAGATCCTGTTGCAAATGTGTGAATCTAATAAGGCCCCGATCTTTAAATGGCAAGACACTGTCCAGTAAGTGGGTGTCAGCAGCTATATCCCCAATGTAAGTGCCTGGGTTCTTTCCTTCCTCTACATAGTAGGTGAGATCCACACAATGACACACATTCAGGGCTGATAGTAACAGGCTCAAGTATGCAAACATGACAACAGTTGGTGCAAGGTGTAAGGGTATATAGTAACCT